GAAAGATATTATTCGACAAAACCTCAGCTCAGCTTTCGAAAATTCGGAGTTCTGATTAGATTCCATTTCAAGGACCTCTGTAAAAAGTATTCATCAAAAGACCAAAAAAAAAGGAAATATGTTAGAGATGGCTGCATCACTACAATCGAAAGGAATTCAAAATGTATCTCAGTCAAATACTGATTGTATCAGAATAATAAAACTGATCCATACTGCTCATTGAGATGTTCACAGCGAGAAGGTGATTATTATAGAATATGTACACATGTTTACCACAAAAACTGCATTCGAGAAAAATATATAAAGATTTTCTTAATTAAAAGTCCAGTCCCAATCCGAACTTTTCTTATACTGAACTTTTGTGCAGCTTTAAGATATGATAATATCTCTCAAGCATTGCAACTCACTATTTGTCGATCTTAACGCCGATGTTTTTTTTCTCAGCGTGGTCAGATTGTTAATAAATATTAATCAGAGTAAATCTGTAGCCTGGCCGGTACAAAGCTAACTTTTGCCAGGAACACTGGACTTAAAATGCCATAAGATTTTTACCAACGAAACAGTTTCTCTTTTGCATCATAAAAATTGCAATCGTTTCGATATCAACTTTAAGGCTATATGAGCGCTCAACTCAGTTCCTGACTATCAACACAACTATCGTCGTGGAGAGTAGCAGCAGCAGCAAGACAAAGTTTTCCATAAACTTTGAATGTATTCATATGTATTCATATGTTTATGTGAGTACGTGATGTTCGTGCGCTTGTATATTTAAAATCGCGTGGGATATCAATATACATAAGTATGCAAATATTCGCAAGAATTAAAGCACATACACGCACGCACGCATGCACACACATACACACACACATACCCATCAACATAAATATAACGCCACTTTTCTACTTTAAATTAAAACACATACATAAATAAAGAGACACAAAACATAAATAACTAACGTTTCAATCGTAGAATATAAAATGAAAATGAAAATGAAAATAAAAAGCCGGCTGATCCATCATATTATGCCACAATTTACGGAAACCGAAAGCAATTGTATAATTGTTGGGGTTTATACATTTGTACAACTGCTGCTGCTGCTGCTGTGAAAAACAAAAAGTTCTTAAAAGTTTAACTTAACGCCGCGCTCGCTAAACAATTTTTCGTTGCGTGAGGGACCGAGGGGGAGGTGGACAGGGAGGGGGAGTTTTCAGTTATGATTTTTTCACGATTCTGCATTTTGCTTTCATATTAACTATGATTGAATGGTACACACATGCTCAAGTATTATAATTCAGTCGGGAGACGTCGTTCTTGAAACATCAGCTATTTGCCTTTTTCTAGTTTTTAAACTTCATACAACCAGATGAACCGTAAACGAGTTATGTTTAGTTCGACAGAGAGTTTGTCAGATACAATTTACACTGCTGCGAATAATAAGTGCTAGTAGACATCATTCTTCAACTACTTTTAAACCAGCAGCGTTATTGCCTACAGTTTATCGATTGTATATACATTTGATGGCAGCACAGAAGAAGTTGGTAGTCCATTTGCTAAGGCAAATATTCTGCGCACAATATTCAGCTCGAATATCTGTTAAAAAGATGATTTAAAATGAATTATTAATCCTGCATTAGATTCTTTTTCTTTCTTCTTCTCCTCCCCCAGATTTCTTTCTTGCAAATCATAAACATGGCAATGAATATATTCCAAGCTATAATAAGAGCAGTGTTAACCGTTCCATATTTCAAGCTCGCATACAATTATATATTATTTTAAAAATAGGTCTCCAATTAGCTTCCACTCAGCAGCATTTCTGCTTACAGTTTGCTTATGATTTGTGTATTTCTTGATAAATAACTTTCCTCTTTCCTTTTTTGCGGCAATTGTTTCCCAGTCCGCAAAACACCTATTGAAAATACTTTCAAATGCTTCAATGCTCCTCACCTATCCATCACTACGCACCTTTTCTTACAACTTTTCCATGAACTGTAAATGTATATATCTTCTAAAATAAAATTATACCCCCAAGATGTTTGTTATCTGCTCATCGGCCATCAACTCGGCAGCATCCTTGCGTACAATTTATTCTTCTTCTATTTTAGACCTTGTAGTCAAATAGGCTTGCTTGCCTGCAGGCAGGTGTACTCGCATATACTTTTTTCAATTCTAGAAAATTTGAATAATTTTCCCGCGATTTTGTTTTTGTATTTTTGGTAACTTCTTGTTATCGCCCTAAGCCATCTCTTTTACATGGATATTCGGCAGACTGTATTGGTTTAGTCCACTAGAAAATGAAGTAAAACGCAGCTAAGAAATAACTTAATCTACGCTCTATTCTACTATAGCAAATATTTCGTACACCGCCATGAAACACTTTAGTGTAATCCATTTCGAATAACTTTCAATTTTTTAATCGCATACTACTACGTATAACTTGTGTATTAAATATATATATATATATATATATATATATGTAAAGAGTGCAATAAGGTCGACTTGGTCAACTCGATATAGTGTATTATTATTTTTTTATTTTTTTTTTTTCATTTATATAACTATGCAAATATTATACTACCTGCACGTGTAGACCGGAATTCACACGAATTTTCACACGATACTCATTATTTTCTTTATTATAACATGGAAGGTGAATTTTTTCTATTTCATTTATATTTAGCTAATATTTTATGTCAAACATTCCAAAGCCAATATTTGAAAAAATGCCAAAAAGTTAGAAAATTCCAAACAATGAAGCATTTATTCGCTATGAATATTACTCACGAACGGCAGCATCTCATAAACGGTGCTTACATTAATGCTGCTGTTGGAAACTAATTCGTTCTGAAACGAGCCGGAACAATTACAAATAGCGGAGAACAACAAATTCTATTTGAGAAAACAGAAGAAAACAGATTTTGTAGAAAATTTTATGATAGCATTGAGCAAATTGTCTACTAAATGCAATCTTGTTATGTTAAATAACTAACGAAAATGTCTCGATTATTAGTTTTTCATCGACATTATGCCAGGGACTCAGAAACTAAAAAGTAGCGATTTCGACACTTAGTTCAATGGCTGGTAAAAGGTCCAGATAAGCAAAACATACCAAAACTACCAGAGGCGTTACAAATATTAAAAAGAAGTTAGCAAGAATGTCTCGATCTTTAAGCTTTTAAAAAACATACCGCAATGATCGACCGAAAGTAAGAATTTCATCTACAAGAACTTGTTTATACATAAGATGTGGAACTAATCAATTGCATGTTCAATTGCAGCGAGATACAATGAGAAATTATCATAAAAGATTTCATTAATCAGTTGTTGCTTATCGATGCTTAATATGAAACACCTTCAGTTTTTGTGAACTTTTCCTGGGCAACTTTCGATCAAATGTTGAAAGAGTAGAAAACAAATTTTTTCGCTAACACACTTATCGTGAAAGATGATGACCAAAGGAAGAAGAAGAATGATTCGATGCTCAAGTGATTTTTATTCTGATGCCCGCCTACTACTGACACTTTTGACAAACTTTTTGCAGACATATGTTCTTCGCATATGAATATGAAACGTGGAGAGAAATAGATGAAGCAACTGAACAGGATACATGGTAAGGAAAACGATGTGTGTATATGGAACTTTCAAGACCGAATACAAAATTTGCTATAAACAAGTGGACCCCATCATCTTTCATAAATTATCGGTTAGCTTCTTAGTTAGCAAAATGTTCTGCGTTTTTAAGCTGCAGGTGCGCTCCTTAGCAATCCTTGAATTCGGAGAAGTAAATGAAGCGGTTGCAGTGTAGCTACGCCGACAACAATTTCGCAATAGACAATGAGAAGTTTTTGATCACATTCTGGAAATGTGTGCCCAGTACACATTACTGAAAACATCGATATCAATAAAACGATCTGCAGTTTTTTTCAGCCACGCCATACGAACCTAATACTGTGTGAGAAAGGAGGAGTAGGGAGGAAATGGGATTGGGTTCGATTACACTAATATCTTTTCTTAATATTCTTAATACTGTTTCATCAACACGTTTAGTTAATTTTCTAATAATCTTTTTTAAGAGATCTAAATAAAATATTTGTTAAAAAGTTTTTATTGAACTCTACATTACTATTATTATTATTAATATTTTAATAATTTGAACATTACTCACCCGACTAATTAATAGAACAGCACATTTGTTATGGCTCCACAATCACAGCTCAAACGTTGAAAAAAAAAAATAGATTGTCGAGTGTTTTTTTTTCTTTTTTTTTTTTTTTTTTCTTTTTGCTTTTTGATGAGACTAGAATTTTCACGTCGTTACTTTGCTGATATCGTATTCAAGTGTTTTCATTACAATATTGAAATGCATTTACACACTTATGTATAAATGAGTTCAACAATTGTTTCTTATTTTACCGATAACAACAAAACGAACGAGAAACATAAAAAAAATAATAAACGAATGCCTTGCCGACGACGATGGCAGACGGTATGAAAGAATGAATATCGGTAACACGTGAAACGTGACACAAATTGTGTGTATTTAAAGGCAATAACAACACCATATTATAACCGATTAGTTAGAACTTATAAGAAATAGAATCTCGCTGCCAAGCAGAAGTAGTTTAGAGAAAAAGATTGTTTTTCTTATTGGGAATTTTGCTTGCAATAAAGTTTTGCCTTTTTTGTTTTATTACATTTTTTTGTTTTTTGTTTTGTTTTTTGTTTTGTTTTGTTTTGTTTTTTTGTTTTTTTTTTTTTTAAAAAATATTCTCAATTAAAGTTTTTCTTTTTTCTAGTTTGGTCTAGTTTGGGGGTCTTTACTTAAGAACACATTTTTATGCGCTGTTGTTTGCGAACCTCTGGCCTGGAAAAATTCCAAAAAAAAGAGAAAAACACATTTTCCATGTAATAAATAATTTTTAGCATTGGTTTTGGAATTGAAATGAAAATTCAAAAAGAGACAGACAGAAAGAGAGAGAGAGTGAGAGAGAGGGGGTAGAGATAATTATTATCATGACCAAGAGAACAGAGAGAGACAGAGAGAGAGAGAGAGAGAGAGAGAGAGAGTAATAGAATAATAGAGCAATAGAGAGAGAGAGACAGAGAGAGAGAGAGAGAGAGAGATAGAAATGGAAAGAGAGGCTGTACAGAAATGAAAACGCTCTAACGTAGAGCAAATATTAAAAGGAAATAGATTTAATAGCGTGGAAATAATCTCATAGTAAGCAGACGGCTATGAAAAGCCAGAAAATTTTGAAGAGAGGAAAGATTAATTATGAAAATTGTTAAAAATGATGATTGATTATCGATAATTAGATAAACGCAATTCATCCGTAATATCAAATAACGTAAGGATGTCAAAATGTGTACATTTGTGTGTTTGTGTTTATTTGTGAGTGATTTCATCCAGCGTATAAATAAATTGCACATTTTACATTAATTAATAAGAAAATTGCTTGCACGCAACGTATGGAAATGAAACAAACATAAGATCTCAGAGTGAAAGTTTCACATAGAAATAGATACAGAGAGAGAGAGAGAGAAAGACAGAAATAGCGAGAGAGTAAATAGTAGAGAGTAAAGTAATCAAGGAAACAGAAACCGCCGAGTACTTATTATGTAGGTGTTTATTTATACGAATGCACACATGTAGAGACCATATAGTCTACAAAATTTAGTTGTTTTCGTTTGATTTTAAGAACATTTCGAAAATATTGCAAACAATTTATAAGAATTTTCATTTATTTTTTATTTCTTTTTTCTTCTTCTTTTTCAACATAATGGTCTATTTAAGTCACTAATTAAATATATATATAATGTGTGCGACATATAGTTCAGAGAGAAAAAAAAAAGAGAGACAGAAAAAGAAGAAGAAGATAGTGAGAGAGAGAGAGAGAGAGAAAGAGAAGGAACAGCATGTGTTTACAGAATTAACAAAAATAATCACAAAACAACAAGCGCATAAAAAGAGGTGTGTATAGGAAAAATAAATATTAAAACATAAAAAGTAGAGAATAATTGTTTTTTTTTTTTTTTTTTTTGATCTTTTTACATTTTTTTGTTACTGTTAATTTGACAGAATGGGATAAAGTTTTGTTTTGTTTTTTTTTTTTTTTATATATAAAATTCTTCATACAGAAATACTTTTTTTTTTATTGATAACTGGAAGAAGTAAGAGGAATGAATGAGAATATTATATGCGAGAGAGAATAAAAAATTAAAATATATTTCTATATCTAAAAAAATTGATAGCCAAACCACTACTGGGTGCATCACGATCAACACGTATCCCCTTTGTTTTAGTGGGAATGTTGTACTCACATCTTAAAATTTTCATTGATAATTAATTACGAAACATATACACAAGCTTTTTATTTTAATTGACAAAATTAATCAGAATAAATAAATGCGCTACGGACTTTTTCTTCTTACTAATACCTGCACTACTGCTTTACCTATACTAATAGTACACTGCTCTCGTCGTCTGTTATAATAAATTGATTGTCTGCATCGGCGGTAAGTCTCATGTCTTATCTGTACAAACCGTCAAGTGTTCTATATTAAGCTTTTCAGAATTTTGTTCAGGTATATATGTTTAGATTAACGTGACAACAAATATAATATACAAAAACCAATAATTCATAAAGAGTACGGTAGAATTCTTACAAATTTTAACAGACGATCAAGTTACAACTTGTATAAAAGAATATTAAAAGCTACAACAATCTAAGATGAAGCATTTGCAACAAGTAATAGTAGTCTTTAACTTCACTCAAAGAAAATTTACATACATCACAACACATATCTCAAAGTAAGCACACACGAGGCAATCTTAATAAATAATATACTTGAAGACGTTTGCGGAAATAAGTGCAATCGCCTTTTGACCGACTTAAAAAACGAGTAGGTGGGACCCCGTAATTGTCCAAGTAATGAGAGGAGATGCAATCTATATCAGCTCGTCCCTCTAGACTTTGCGATAATTCTAAAAATCGTTGTTACCCATACGCAGTCCGTTTTTAAATAGATTGACATCCGAATGTTGAAAAGTGTTTCATATTTGACACTAATACGCGATACACTCAATTATAGAAAAGACCGTTCGCTATTAAGCAACGGAAAAGACACATTGCCTTCCACGAGACCAGATGTGTTCTTAATCATTGCACAAATGCTTTATTGGCAAGTTTTAATGCATCCGAAAACCTTTTCTTTCCGCTGAAGGCTGCTGTTCATTGTGCAACATTTCTAACTTTCAAAGAGTCCTGAGAAAATCATATGCTTCAGCTTCTCTCGTCGACTAGTTTCAAGAGTTCTATGGTAACACAATATAATGGCTTTGCCGGTAGGGACTGAGAGTTGTTCTGAGGAGTGTTATCTTAATCACAAGTGTAATCTAATTAAATCAAAAGCCAGTAATTGCAGAATCTATTTAATCCAAATGATGAAATGAAAGGCGAAAAAGAGATTCATTCTAAACTGCGCCATCAAAAAAAAGCTCAAATCATCTGTCCCGACGACGAGTAAGCATCAGATAGAAATTAAAAGTTTTTGAATATAATTAAAGTCATTTTATTAGTGAAAATGTAATAAAATTTACTTTGTATAGCCGAAATATAGTAGATACGGTATAACCATCTATTTCTTGTAATAGAAATAAAATCGCGTTCAACTTCCTTTTGCACATAGCATGTGAATTCGAAATTATATACAAATCGTGCGTAAAATGATTTCTGAAATTAGTATTTGGAACACGTCGTCCTCACCGATATCATTGCGATTTGCGCGCGCACACGCACACACATACACACACACACACATAGTTGGAAAAGCAGAACAACCGAATATCAAATAAAATAAAAACTAAGAATTGCCAGCGATAATAAAACATGCAAATTATAGCAAGAAAAATTTTCTAAAAGTTTTCCTATGCCCGACGAAATCCGAAAAATTGTGTTAAAATATATTACACAAAAGTTTTGTTTTTAATTTGAAAACAAAAAAAAAGAAAGAATAAATAAATAATAAACAAAAATCGCTCTAGTACACACACATAAACGCGATACAAATAATAATTAAAAGTGAAAAATGCTTTCTTGTCGTTCTACTCTATAAATAAATAAATAAATAAATAAATAGAGAATTTTCAGATTGATGATTTTATGATTTTCTTTTCTTTTTTTTTTTTTTTGCCTCCCCTTAATTTAATTTAATGATATTTTCAATTATAACGATCTTCTTCGTATAGCGCGCGCATCTATAAAAACTTCTAAGAAATAATAAACAGCAAAAAATTTTATATGTAAGCGCAATTGACTGCACACACGAAACCGACACCTGAGAATTTTAGTATTATAATATAATAACAGAAAACTATATGTAACTACTTGGTAGTTCCGGTTGTCCTACTGATTAAAGATTTCTCGATTCCCGAAATTTATGCCAAAATTCCAAAGCAAGTAACAACAAGAGTTCATCTTCGACGTAAGCTAAGCAAGTTGTTCGTCTTCTATCCATATCTCATATCTTCACACTATATGCCTATTCGATAATCATGTGAAGAGTCGGCCAAAAACAAGCTAATCGACCTAAGTATACTAGAAATACATGCTACGAACATATAAAAAGAACGGAAATCATTTATGAAAGAAAATGTCTCGTTTCCTTTTGTCTCGAAGGTAGAAAAAGGCCAGCAGCAATTTCAATAGAAGATTTTTGAGATGTCAACAAAACATGCCAGCAATGTAAAGAACTATAAATTATTTTAACGAAAAAAAAAAAAGGATACAATTCTTTCCTATCCGCCGCACATTCGTTTGCCTGTTTCTGCAAATAAAATCTTAACGATCCCTCACAGGCAGGCAGAGCTCAATAGTCGACGAAACGTTGAAAAAGCATCCATTCCTTTATTATCCTTGCCATATGACAAGTGACTGGTTCGAGACTGGTTACGCAACTAGTTGATCGCAAAGAAAAATTGCAAGCAAAGTTTTGTCGAACTGGTCAAGGTCAAGTAGAACACCGGCAATTTTAGTTTGCAGTTATTACTATGTATTCTCGAAATTTTAATAACGTAACGTCAAGAAGAAATTGAGGCTCGCTCACCAACGCTCCATCGCCGAGGTATCGCATTCTAAACTAAACGACTTTTTTTTTTTATTAAGCTTTTTAATACCGTCTGTCTGAACTGTTTATAACTTTTGCTGACGTTTGAAATCTTCAAGAAAATTTGACTATACAAGGATGACAAGATGTAAGGCGCAAGACTATTTTCACTACCAAAGTTTTGAAAAAACTGCATTGATTCGTTGGGAATTTTTTCTTTGCATAGAAGCCTGTTCAAAGCGTATTCCTTTTTGATGAAAGTAAATTAATCGTATCTGGTTAAGCTCTGACATTGGACTCAGAGAGATCAGATTAAAGTGCTGACGCCAAAGACCTATCTCTGTCGATTCGATTAGGGAGGGAAAACGTAAATATTGAACAATATTTCTGCGGCCAACGATTCCCGTAAAACAATTGGGATCATCACGGGCGTCGACATTTTTTAAAATTTTCTTTCCAATAAATAAAAATTTTCCTATATATAAATTTTGTCGAAACCTTGAAGAAGACGAGTGAAGAGCTCTCGATTGAGATTCGACATTTTATGCTTAAAACAAGCTTCCACATAAGCGAAATACAACAAACGCAACAAGCGTT